ACTACGAATGCAACACATGCCACTGGCATGTTCATTTTAAAATGACAGGTTCTATGCTATGTGACTATGTGAATTTTACCTCAATGAAAATCAATTCTGTTAAAGAGAAACACCTTTCAGCTGGGGGCAGGGACACACGCCTTTAATCTCAGCTTTCCAGAGGCAGAGGTGGGTGGATCTCTGTGAGTTCACCGTCACAGAGAGAGAATTTTAAGAGACTGCACAGTGCTACTCTGCTGAAGCTGTTCTATCTCCGTGCAAAAGCAGCTTCAGCAGTTCTGGCATGTAGGGGGCTCCCACTGTGTCCCCGTGCACTGTGTACCGAGGCCCCACTTTCAGCTACTCAGAACCTGGTTTTCTCAGACTTTTATTTTGTTTTAAATATATATACTCTTTAAAACTTGTTACAGTCAGCCTGGGGGGAGAGGGCTCAGTTAGTCAAGTGCTCTGTTAAACATGAGGACCCAAGTGTGATCCCCTCAATGCACGCACAAAGCTGGGTGTGGTGATATTCCCCTGTAGTCTCATTGCGGGGGCGGGGGGGAGGATGTGGACGTGGATGGAAGCCTGGGATTGCTGGTCAGGCAGAATAGCTAGCCTACTTGGTGAGTTCTAATCCAGTAAAAGGCTCAGTCTCAACAAAAAAAGTGGACAGTGCCTGAGAAATAATGACACGTATGTGCAGACATGTGCATCTGTATTTACATATAAACATACACACGTACAATTTGATAGTCACAAACTTCCAGAACAGCCATGGGTCTGGTCCAAAGAGTTTCATTTCTGGACCACTTAAGAGTTTGGACTATGTGACTGTGATAGCCGCTCAGATTTTCACTAGTAGCTCTTTTTTGGGGGGTGGAGTGGGGAAGAATGCTTTTGTTTTATGGTGCTGCTACCCTGAGCCAGGCCACAGCTAAGGATGCTGTCACTGAGGGGTTCTCAGGCATTGTTTGGCACTCACCAGCCACCTCAGTGGGCATGTGGAAGCAGAAGGAGCCAGCCAGTCTCTCCTCTATTCCCGCCAGTGTGACGTGGACCCCTGGACTAGACAGTCCCTTTCCTGGAACTTTCTGATCCCAAAGCTTCTGAGGACTCAAGCAGGGATTTCCGATATTCCTCACAATTAGACTGAAGTCAGACATCTGATGCTGACATCACAGATGTGACTCTGAGCTCTAGTTGTGTTTTACCAAATGCCGCCCTTTCAGTTCCCACCGTTGGTTTTTGTTGTTTGATTTGGGGTCTTCAGCTTCCTCAGGAGACGTCCTCTGTTCCACCGTGCACTTAGGGTGGAGGGCAAAACTCCAGCTGACTTCTTAACAGAATACCAGTCATTTACTCATCTGTGACTACACTGACTCATGGTCTATTTTAGTCAATGAATCCCACATATTTATTTCCCCAGTTTCTGTCTGCTATGCAGGTTCCCACTTGGACTCTGGGCCTCCCCCAAGATGGCTTCTGTCTTTAGGCTCCTGTTGCATCTCTTTTACATGAGCTAATGATGCAAAAGAATTTCAGGATCCTGTTGTACTCCCTTTGATCCAGAAGCCTTTCCATGAAGTCCAGCTCCTTTTACTGGCAAATGCTATTTAGAAACCCATATCTGGGGATGGGGGCTCTGTGTAGCTATTGGAGTGTCTGAACTTTTGTCCCTTCTTGGGAGACAAAACTAGGGATACACATGTGTGTACACACACAATGCACAGACACATGCATGTCCTGTGCAATGCACATGGGCACACATTCTGTTAAGTGGACTCTTTCTGGGGAGATTTAAACAAACACCAGCCCCCCCTTATAAGATCACTAATGACAAACTAAAGTATAACTCCAAAGTCAGACTTGGGGAACCAATGAGTTTCTTGGACTTACTTACAGAACGAAGATAAGGGATTACTTACGGAAGGGTGGTTGACCCCCAAGGCAGTTGCACCATCTAACATTCTCACCTCCACATGGACAAAGACTCCCCCTCCCGCAATTAACCTGCTATAGTCTATACACAGTAATACCTCCCCAGCCCATGAGGCTATGTGCATTTAGGGTACAAATAAATGGCCAGAGAGCCCAAGCCCCGCCCCAATTCCTTTCTTCTACAAAGGTTTCAACAGTCAGGCCTGATCTTGAGAGACTCTTGTACGTAGTTAAAGCTGTTCTGATGAGGATGATGGCTGTCATGCTGCCAGGACAACACTGTGCAGCACAATATCCATGCTCACACACTCACAACTCATATCTGTGCTTCTACAGCTACAATGGAGACTGCAAGCTCTTGGTTACCATTCTCCCCCTGAAGGGTCAGCCAGGGTTACTTCTTTCCCTTCTTGGACTGATGGTCTACTTTACCCCTCTGCCCCTCCTCCAAGCAAAGAGGAGGGCAAAGGTCACACTGAGTAAGTTTAGGGCTCTAGCAGCCCTGGTTTTGCCTCCAGCTTAGCCTCTGGATAGTCCTGCCCTTTCTCTTCATGGGGGAGACTGAGGCTTGGAGTGGGACTACCTGCCACGGTCTCATGCAGAGGGTCTGCCCATCCTGGTTCATGCTTGCTCACTCTAGGGGGTGTCCTCTTACAACCATGTGAGGTCCCTTGCATAGCCTGGGCTCAGTGTCACTAAATAAGAGTCAGGTGACTTAGGGGAGTCCCAGTTAGCATTGCACCTGGGCAATAGGCTTAACAGCCTCCTCCCTGTTCTGGCATGCCCTCTTCTGGAGACACCAAGAACTGTGGCATTAGGAACAAGCTAGGCTTTTGCAGGTAATTCCGGATGGCTGTAGCATAGGGAAACCTCAGAGTTCTGCAAATACAGCAATGCCCAAATTTTAGCAAGGCAGCTGGGTGGTGGTGTCGCTCATCTTTAATCCCAGCACTTAGGAGGCAGAGGCAGGTGGATCTCTATAAGTTCGAAGCCAGCCTGGTCTACAAAGTGAGTTTCAGGACAGCCAGAGCTGTATCACAGAGAAACCCTGTCTTGAAAAACAAAACAAAAATTTAGCAAGGCTACAATGCACAAAATCAGCTTACAATCATACTTTACCAGCAATTGGAAAATAAACTCAGAAGTCAATACCATTTGCTAGCACTAGCTGTAAAGGATAATACATTGTCTTGTTTTGTGGTTACTTTAAACCATCAATTATTTTCAGTTACGTTTGGAAAGTTCACATTTAAAGAGCTTCTCATCTTTAGGATGACCTTGATGCAGATCTAGAGTGTGCTGTCTCTTATCATCCTCTTTCTGAGGCAGGACTTTCTCTTCAGATTCCAGGATAGCAGAGATACTGGCAATACATTCTCTCAGAACCTTTGAGGCTGAGAAAGTCCTTCCCTCTCTTTTTGTTTTGTTTTGCTTTTCAAGACAGGGTTTCTCTGTGTAACAGCCTTGGCTGTCTTGGAACTCACTCTGTAGACCAGGCTGGCCTTGAACTCCCAGAGATCCTCCTACCTCTGCCTTCTGAGTGCTGGGAGTGAAGGCGTGTACAACCACCACCTGGCTACGCCTTGCTCTTTTTAAATTTTGTTTTGAGCCAGGATCTTGGTATGCAGTCCAGATCTCAAGTTACACCTGTGGGCCGCCACGGTCACCCCCTTACATTAGTTACTAACTGGTTAATCTCTTAGAATTTCTTGGAGTACCAGGCTCCACAGCCCCTGATTCAATGGTGCCTGCAGGCCCTAATCTTTCTTGGCCCTCCAGGCTTGGATCCTCCTGTGTGTCTGCAGGACACCCTCTCCCATGACACCTCTGGATTCCTGCTGCTCTTTCTTGTCAGTGTCCTGTTTGAAATGGCTGGGGGCATCTTGTTAGAAAGGGAGCCTTTCCTGTGGTGCTCGAGGAGTCCAGATGAATACGCCTCAGGGGTGTTCAGAGAAGGTGGCAGGGCAGTCCTCAGAGAAACCTAGGAGGTGGCAGTGGGACAACCTGGTGATGAACTAGAGCTCAAGGTGAGGATCCAGGCGGCGGGGTGGATGGGCAGGCAGGATTATCCCTGGCCCTGGAGAGATACAGGGGTGGCTAGGGTGGAGTGTTTTCCTGGGGGGGGGCTGATAGCCTCTTCTTAGATTTCCCTCCTCTGCATGTGTTGCCCCCTCCCCTCAGGTGGTGAAATACCAGCTTATCAGATGTCGATAAGCAGCCTTGCACATCAGGGGAGCTGGGCAGATAAAGCCCAGGTCACAATTCAGGGTTTATCTGTAGAGCTGGGGCTGACTCCTATTCTGACAAGGGGTCTCATGTGACCCTCTCCCTAAAACTGTCCAGGAAAGCTGAGCCTGACCCCGAGGACTCAGAGGCCTTAAGACGAATGACACTGTTACCCTTGTTCCTTTTGGGGTGGCTCACAGGCAGGCATTGTCTCCTGTCCAGTACCCCTCTTAGGGAACACGATAGAGCATGCCAACACATCATTATAGGGTGACACTGAGCTAGGAGCTCTTTTGAGACCTCCCCTGAATCCCCGGGCAGGGGACAGGATCCTCATCTCAACAATTGGAAAGGGTGTCATCTCAGTGGTGTAGGGCACTCAGCGGAGAGGGGCCCTCAGTGTGCAGTGTTCTGCCCATAGTGGAATCCCCGGGGACCCCCAAAACAAACAGCAGGCCTGGTGGACCTTGAGCAGAGACCAGTTGGATCTCAGAGCTCTGCCTCCCATAGCCTGACTCACCAACACTCCACGCAGGGTGTGTTGCTGCTCTTCGGGTTGTATGCTCAGTCTTGTGACTTGTGGACATCAGAAGGGCATCTGGGTGGTGGGGGCACATGCTGCATGGGGACCTTCGATCTAGATCATTCCCTTCATGTCTGGATTAGAGGGTGGTGTGCCCCTCCTCTCATGCACTCTGGCAGAAGACAGCAGGCAGAGAAGAGAGCCAAGGTAAAGTGCTTTTCCAGAGCCCAGGCATCTGCCTATCACCCTGAAGCAGAGTAACCAGGCTTGCGTGGGACCTTTGGGACCTGGAGCACCAGACCCCAGACTCCCTGGCTGAAATTACCCTCCATTTCACGGCCCTGGATCCATTCTGGACTTGATACTCTGTCAATCTCAGCCTGGCCCTGTCTCCCTGGTCTCACGCCGAATCCCTCACTGCTCCCAGATACTGAACCCTCTGCTGCCGGCGCTGCCCCTCCTGGCTAGCCTGCTGCATGCCGCCCCTCGTGAGTCCTGTCTTGAGTCATCTCTGTCTCTCTCCCTGACCTTCACAGATCACAGGCTGTGGGGAATTTACAAGATCCCAGGGATAGCTGCTCCAGTACAGGGAGGGACAAGCCAGGGTGCTGAGGCTGCCCCTTGTCCTTTTTCAGGCCCAGCTGAGCAGCGAGTGGGCATCATGGGAGGACAAGAGGCTTCTGAGAGTAAGTGGCTCTGGCAGGTCAGCCTGAGACTTAAGTTCAGCTACTGGATACATTTCTGGGGAGGCTCCCTCATCCACCCACGGTGGGTGCTCGCTGCGGCACACTGTGCGGGACCGTGAGTATCCTTGGGCCTAGTATGGTGGGGGACAGGGATCAAGATTTCTCCCATGGCCCCAGTGTTCCTGAGGCTTCAATGTTTAGGTCTAGGTTGGAGCCTTCCAAACATGGCTGTACTCCTCTAGGCACACCCAAAGCCCAGAGCTCTTCCGGGTGCGGCTTCCTGAGCAGCTCAATACTATCAGGACCAACTGCTGCCTGTGAACCCGATCATCGTGCAGCCGAGGGTGGGGCTGGAGCTCGAGGACCCTGTGAATGTCTCCAGCCATGTCCAGCCCGTATCCCTGGCCCCTGCCATGGAGACCTTCCCCTCAGGAACATCATGCTGAGTGACAGGCTGGGGCGACATTGATAAAGGTGGTATGTGGCAGGGACAGCTGCCAGTTAGTTGGGCAGGGACTAGTCTCACCCAGCTGAAACAATGGAGGGTGGGCAGGGGTTCCCAGGGCTGGCCAGGATGAGCTTCCCCCAAAGGCTACATTTCTTTTGCCCCAGAGTCTCTCTCGCCACTGTATCCCCTGAAGCAAGTGAAGGTGCCCATCGTGGAAAATAGACTCTGTGATTGGAAGTACCACACTGGCCTCTCCACAGGGGACAATGTTCTTATTGACCGTGATGACATGCTGTGTGCTGGAAATACTGGGAGAGACTCCTGTCAGGTGGGTCCTGTGTCCCTGCACCCACCCTGCACCCTGCCCCATTCAGTCTCCATATGTATCTTCCCCAGGGTGCTCAGGGGGGGCACTGATCTGCAAAGTCAAGGGTGCCTAGCTGCAAGCAGGTGTGGTCAGCTGGGGTGAGGGCTGTGCAGAGGTCAACCATCCTGGCATCTACACCCGGGTGACATACTACTTGGAATGGATCCACCTCTATGTCCCTGAGAACTGAGCTGCTTCCAGGGTCAGAGAAGAACCAGGCTCTGTTGTCTTTAACTCACTGCTTCCGGCTCAGGTGGAGCCCCTGACTTCTTGTCCTTCTGCCTCCCCGTCCCTCTGAGCCCCTGGCCACTCCTATCCCCTGTGATTCCCACCCCAGGTGGCTGCTGGGTCCTAACCATCCTCTGTGACTTATTAAAGTCATGAAAACAGCTATGGGGTTGCTGTTCTCATTGTGGGTGTCACTGGGGGCAGATGGAGTACTTTGCGTGGCAAGGCTGTGATGCCCTTGTTGTGGGGTCCTAGTCACAGGATTGGCATACTGTAGTGGGGTTGGGCCTCCTTGCTAGCATCTGTCCCCAAGACTAACCTCTTTCCATGCAACCTCACTTAAAAAGTTATTTTAAACACTTGCCAAACATACGCTTGTTTGCAGGGCATTGGTGGTGCACAACTTTAATCCCAGAACTCAGGAGGCAGAGGCAGGTGGATCTCTGTAAGTTTGAGGTCAGCCAGGTCTACAGAGTGAGTTTCAGGAGAAACTCAGAGTTACACAGAGAAACCCTGTCTTGAAAAACCACAAAACAAACAAAACATGTGCTTACTAACACATGTGCATGCCACAGTGCGTGTGAGGAGGCCAGAGGACACCTTTGTGGAGTCATTTCTCTCTTTCCACCTCTATGAGGGCATCAAACTCAGGTTATCAGGCTTTGATGGCCAGCACCTTCGCACACCGAGCCATCTCGCCTGCACAGGAGAGACATCACATCCTTAAGACGTGGACACCTTTAATCCCAGCTCGTGGGAGGTAGAGGCAGGCGGATCTCTGTGAGTTCCAGGCCAGCCTGGTCTACAGAGTGAGTTCCAGGACAGACTCCAAAACAATACAGAGAAACCCTGTCTCGAAAAACCAAAAATAAATAAATAAATAAATAAATACATGGAGAGCAACATGGACCAATGTAGAGGGAAGTCAGACTCACTGCAACTGGGCCAGGAAACAAAGCATGGCCAGTTGCACCCCACCCCCACTCAGGTATTGCTCTCCCGTCTTTACCCTGCAGTGGCAGGAGACACCTTTGCCTCATGGATGGCTCCATGACCGTCCTGACAGAACAGACCTTCAGGCTTGCCTTCCCGTCACACTTCTGCATACAGTCCATGTCATCACTGCCTCTGCTACCCAGAATCCCATGTGCTGGGGCCTGGGATGTAGCTCCGTTGATAATATTTGCCCAGCAGGCAGGAAACCTTGGCTTCGAGCCCCACTACCGTGTAAGCCAGATGTGGCCGTACACCCCTGCAATCCCAGGACTGGGGAGGTGGAGGCAGACCAAGAGAAAGGTCATTCTTGTCTGCAAACTGAGTGTGAGGCCAGCCTGGGATATGTGAGACCCCACCCCAAGAGAATAAAGCTCACAAATAACTTTGTACAGCGCCACATCTGGCTGCTACGGTGGACTTGGCTTTGAGGCTTTCTCATTTGAGGATCCCGGGACTTGGGTGTTCATGGCTGTTCCTGCTCGCACAGATGACTATGTCTTGAACATTCAGCTGAAGGGAGCTGTTGGCCCGGGGGGCCCATTCCGTTAGTTGGAATGTCACTTATGTCTCATAATCATATGCCAGCAGCGCTGTCTCTTTGTTCCCCTTGTCTTGATTCAGCATTCCGTGTTAGAGGCAACATCTGATGGGGGGTGGTGACAGCCATGTTTTTGTGATTATTGCTGAGGACTGACCATTCTCTTTCTTGGATAGAGCCCTCATCCTTGATGGGGAATTGAAGTCAGTTGTCTCTTGGTGGTGGTGGGGTGTGTGTGTGTCACACTCTTGCCTGCTGAGCCATCTCTCGGGATCCTTAGTTTTAATTTTTAATGTAAAAAAAATAACACATACCCATCACAAAAAATAAAAGGTACGTCTGGAACTTGGTCCCTGGTCCCTTCGTCCCAGCCACCTGACTCTCTCAGGGTCACTGTGGGTGCTGGTAGGTGATGCCACTCTGATGGGTGCATTTAGCCATACTTTAATGGAGGCCATGGCAGGGGGAAGTGGGGGAGGAGATGGACCAGGATCTCAGTGAGAAGCGCCTAGGGCCAGGCAAGGGGCAAGGAGGAAAGGGGGATGGGCAGGTGGCAGGGGAGAGCAGCCTGGCCTCTGCTGGGCTTTTTTTCTGCTTATCTGACCCTGGCAGAGCAGCTCAGCACAGCTCAGAGTCAGCTGACAGATAAAAGTGATCATCTCCTGCCATGGGCTACAGGGGCCAGGCCTGAGGGCTCTCAGGGCAGAACCCAACCCCTGTCTCAGCTAAAGGCCAGTACCCAGGTGAGCAGGCTACTTTAGACAGATGTAACCCTCACCTCTGGCTCTACTCGGGGTCTGAGTTACAGGAGACTCTGACAGCTGGGTGTTCTCTCTCTCTCTCTCTCTCTCTCTCTCTCTCTCTCTCTCTCTCTCTCTCTCTCTCTCTGTGTGTGTGTGTGTGTGTGTGTGTGTGTGTGTGTGTGTGTGTGTGTGTGTGTCCGTCCAGGGTGAGGCTGCCTGTCCCTTGCTTTTCTGTGAGGTGGAAACAGAACCCAGTCGTGTGGTGCATGGGTGGAGTTTTAGTCTGGACAGCAGACCTGGAGTGAGAGAGCACGCTGAGGGCTCTGCAGGGAGCCAGGTGGGAGGGTGTGTGTAGGTGGGGGAGATACCAAAAGCAAAAGGAGGTAGGACAGGGAAGTCCTGTCCTGTGGGGGCCTGGGGATAGTTCAGAGGGCCAAGACCCAGAGGATCTGGTCCTGTGAAAACCTGAGTGACACCAGACTCGGGCTGGCTGGGATGGCTTGTCCCTGCCCTCCACTGCCTGCCATTTGCTGGGATGAAAGGGCAGGCAGGCCCAGTGTTCCCAACAGTCCCCTCTTAGGTATGCAGTTACCCGAGGGAGGCCAGTCACACAGGGGGCGATAGTGTACTTGTTTGACACCAGGTCACACAGTTAGCATGCACTCTTGAGCTGCGGGACAGGTGGGCATGAAGCATAGTTTGTCCTGTGATGTCACATCCTGAAGCAGGAATGAACCACTCTCTGCTACCAGCTTCCCCACATTTAATAGAGGATTCCTAACCTAAACAGTATCAGTGAGACCCTCAAACCCTGGCCTGCGATTTAGACTGGGAGAAGTTCCTGATTCTGGCCTCACCCCTGGTCAGCTGACCATCAAGCTCCAGACAGACCCGAAGCCCTGCACAGGGTCTGACTGTTCATCTGGGGTGGAGTCAGGGGACTCAGGACTGAACATGAGAACAGGGGCCCAGAGGAGGATGTGTCGTCATAGAGGGCCGGGCCTCTCTGAAGAGCCTTGGAGGGTTAGCATCTGGAGAGTGGGAGAAACGTGTCCCGGAGGCACCAAGGCTGCATTGCCTCCTCTCCACAGTGGGGCAACAGAAGCTCAGGTTGTGGTGGGGCAGCTGGGCCCCATCCTGTTCCTGTCATTTCCGGTGTCCTTGAACTTGTCCCTTGCTGCCAAGGCTGGGTGGAGGCTTCATGTGAGACAAATGAAGTTGACAGCCCCTCCCTGTGCTGTGCAACAGGATCAGGTGGGGACCCTGTATCCTTCTCCCTCCCTACAGCAGGTGTGACGCCATTCCTACTCCACCCCGTACTGGCACGTCCTGGGCTGGGCAGGGAGAGGGGGTGGTCATGTCTCTGCTGTGGGTAGACACCATGGCTCTGGGTCCTCGTGGCTTCCTACTGCTTCTGGCTGTTCCTGGTGAGTGAGCTGGCTTGGGGTTGGTGTGGCATGGTACTTGCATCCTGCTCTGAGGAGGGGATAGGCCTCTCTGAACATCCCCCTGGATTCACATGGCTAGATTTCTGAGAGAGCTTCGGCTTTGTAGAGGGATCTGAGGACCTTGAAGTCTGGGCTTAAGTGGGCAAAAGCCAAGCTTTTCATGGTGGGACTGTTCTGCCTGGGCCCCTCAGCTGGGGAGCTTAGCCATCATTGCTGGGGACAGAGGCTTGGGGTGTGGGTGTTGGGTCACCTATAGGCCCAGACCCTGGTAAGACCCTCCTCAGGAGGACCTAGGGGTTGTGAGGGGCTAAGGCTGGGACAGTACTCAGTGCCTCCCAGCTGTTGTTTATGGCCCATGGCTGGTCTCACTCTACTTGGGATTGGGATGGCAGCTGGTCAGGCCACACCTACCTGGCTGGGCCCTACCTATCTGGCTAGATACCAGCTTTAGCTGCTCAGGGCAGGAACATGCACCTTAGGGTCACTTTGGACATTGTGGGGGACAATGCTTAGGCCTGGGGGGCCAGAGTCACTCTCACGAGCAGCTCCTCTAATCCTTCTGTCTCCATCCTGCAGGTATCTCTCATGAGGCTCTACAGTCAGGTATGTCCCCAATAGATGTTTCAGATTAGAGACCAGTCCTGGCCGGCAGGCCACAGAGGGACAGTCTATGGTGGGGGAAGGGTGGTCTGGCCTAGGAGACCATGTACTTGCCACAGGCATGTCTGCTCCCCTGGCTGATAGAGCACAGGGTGGCTTCACCTGGGCAGCTGCACTTCAGTTCTGGCTATTTTGTATCTTCAAGAGCTACTTTGAATCTCCTGTGCAAGCCGCAGGCCCTCACAGTCCACTCCCCACTTTTCCTCTGCAGAGGTTGCTCTTGGGAGAGACTTTCATTCTGTCCTACAGATTAAGAGTGAAGCCCTCCCCTAAGGGATGGCCTCTACCTTTTTGTTGTTGTTTTTGTTTTGTTTTTTGAGACAAGGTTTCCTTGTGGAGCTTTGTAGACCAGGCTGGCCTTGAACTCACAGAGATCTGCCTGCCTCTGCCTCCCGAGTGCTGGGACTAAAGGCATGCACCACCAATGCTGGCTACTCTACTTTTCATTTAAAAAAAAGTAAGGTGAAATTTCCATCAAGTTTAGCCATGATACAGTGTAGCATTTGGTGGCATTTACCACATTTCCAGTGTTTTGTGATATTACATCTATCTAGTTCTAAACATCACTCTAAAAGGAAACCCCATTCTCACCAAGGAGGTACCTCCTCCCCCCACCCCTCCAGTCTCCTGGGCCTTCAAAGCTCCCAGCACCCTCAGTCCTTTCTCACTGCCCCCCCCAACTCCAGGCAGTAAGCTGCTTGCTACAGCCCCACCCACCCTATGTCCTATGGGGCTGTGTTCAGACACCAAGATCCATAAACTCACTGCTTCTAGGGCA